TATTAATTGTCTGATTATAATAAAGGAACGCAGGTACAGTTTGAAGTGTTTAGACTTTTACTTCCTCGTGCAATTTTAAATAAAAGGAAGTTCAATCAGTTCAACTGAATTAAAAAATTCAGAACTAAGAATGTTGGTGAGATCATATTACGTTTCGCCCACGCGAGATTTGCGAAAGGGTTCGTGGAAAATTATTATTAACTCGCATGAAATCGTGATGCCTTCAAAGAGTTGTTCTACAAAGCTGTCCTTTACATCCTAAGAGTAAGAGGAAACAGTAGAAACGAAGGCGACGCCGAACACAGATCAAAAGGTGGCTTAACGCCTGGGTAAAAAGAATAGCTAGACGCCTACGTGAATATGTAGATTTTTCAACTCCTCACAGCGAGCTGTCATCGATGCTCTTAGAATAATTACGGCGAACAATAGAAACATTCCATCGCAGTCGACGTCGCGATTACCCCAGTGAAAGAAGCGGCGACCGGGTGCCGAGAAGGATCGCGGCGCTTACCCAGAGGCTTTCCCGCTGTCTCGGAAACGCGTGTATATCCGTAGAACAAAGGAGCAAACGCGAAGAAAGTTTCCGGCAAATGCGACGGGAAACCGAGCGACGATTGGCGTGTTCCGCGCGCAGCTCTCCTCAACCGTGGCCCCAGACTCGGATTAATTTGCGTTTTGCGAGATTGTAAACTCGAAGTTGCTTCGTAACTCGGTTACTTCGGAGAAAACGAGCGTCCCTGACACGCCAGCGTCGGATCAATTCCCCTTGCATCGTAGCATATTTCCATAGTGTCTTTCAATGTCTCGTTAACTGGATCCGGCCCCTTACAGGGAAGGAAAATAGAGCTTTGAACTGGATCCTTCTGCTCTGTACCATTGTCTGTGGGCTTGAAGCATCGCACAAAGCTCGGGCTCGAATACGTAGTCACATTGTTAAGAATCCGTGAAATTTCTTATTTTTCAAACGAACACTTTTCCCGAGGTTCCTCCGGCAAGTATTCATTGATCGAAGTTTTACGGTTACCAGTTTTGACCCATTTAAGACCTTTTGGTGTTTTAGTGGAATGGCGTGAAAAATTAATACACCTCTGCATAGCAAATGTGGGATCGCATGTAACCTCGTCTGTGTAGTTTTAATAATAAAAAGTGGCTAGGTTTGTGTAACTAGAAACCACGATTATTGCTCGTTGAATGTTTAAACAAGCTCTCCTGTCTGGAACGGCGTGTAGTGACATCGTCATAAGAGAAAACGAGTAATACTGTCATGCATAAAAAATGCGAAGGAGTATTCTTGTTAGTTTATAGTAGATTGTATATGTTCGTGTGTATTCACAGGAAATGTGAATATGCAAAATGTCACAAATAGCATATAATATGAAAATGTCAAGAGT